AATAGTTCTGGATAGATATTTATAGGAGTGCATTCTTTCTGTTCATCTAATTGCTGAAGTTTACCAGCATGAACGTACTAGAAACCTATCCACTGTCCACTAAGTACTGAACACTTGAGTGCAAACTCAGCACAGAGAGGAAAAACTGGTGGTTACAAGAAGAAATCTTGCTATGATATTACAGTAGTAGCTGGTGGTTTCCATGGCAGAAGGGCAGTGATTCTGCTCTGGGTTATAGTATGAACTTCTTTGATAGCTCTTTTAAAGTCTGGACTAAATCCCAGACTGGATGCAGTGTCCCAATAACATACTACCTCAACTCCCAAAAAGCCAATTCCAGTCAAAGTTGACACCACAGTAGCTTCCGACATTGTTAATTTCAAAAACTCTTTGCAAGCAACCAGTTCCACCTCTAGGAAGTGGATGCAGCACTCAAAAGGAAAAATGTCTCCCATCATCTCCAAAAGCAACAGATTTATAACTTGTGGTTTTTCCTGGATTCATCCCCACACATGGATTTCCCAGTAGTCAACAATGATGTTTTCAGTGGCCAAGAATCACTTTTACTAACCCACTCTGGTTCTCCAGCTTCACACTTTCTTAGAGAAATCATATTTATGCCAAGAACCTACATGAGGGCAGAGTAGCTTAAATCTCTACATCTGGAGTTATGCATTGATTGTGCTAGGCACTATGTGTGTTGCACAACAACATTGCACAACCTAATATACAACTGAATGTGCAACCCATGTCAGTGCATAGTCCCATCCACATCCACATGTGCAAGTCTGCTTCTATCCACAGCCTTAAAGTAAATATGCTTGGAGGAGACAAGAATGGGGAAGGACCATTGCTTTTTCACACCAGCTTGTAGGTTGCTCACAGGAGGCAGGACACTGAACTGGATGTGCTTTTCTCTGATCCAGTTAGATCAGTGGTTCCCAAACTCTGTGTCCAGATGTTTGGCACCAGAATTCCCAGAAGCCCCAGTCAGCTTGGCCAACTGTCAGGAATTCTGGGAGCTGAAATCCAAAACATCTGGAGGACCAAAATTTGGGAATCACTGGATTAAACTATTATTAGGTTATATTAATATGGGAAAGGCCTGAGAAGTCATACAGCAGAAGCTTCCACAGCAGAATCTTTTGAGCAATGCAAAAGAGACATTTTTATACACTTACCGGAAAACCATGTAACAGAGATTATGAGTCTCATGAGAGATATAGAAAGGTTGTGATAACATGCTAAATGTGGAAAAATATTTAATGATCTTTACTAATAATTTCAAACTGTGTATTTAAACAACAACAACAACAAGATGTGGCACAGGCCATCTTAGTGAAGTGTTTTTTTAGAATGGCTGATTAGAATTGGGAGACCTGGGTTGAAATCTTATTCAGCTGAGGAACTCACTAGGCAACCATGCACTTAATCTATCTCTCAACCTAATCTATCTCTCAACCTAAAAGTAGGAAGAATCATGGAAACCACCTTGTGTTCCTTGGAAAAGCAGTGGAGAATCAATATAATAAATTCAATAGCAACTTATGTTAACTGAGTGATTGCTTCAATCTTTCCTCTTCAGAGAACATCTGGTGGGGGAATAAAGATTGTGACTATGATGTGCATAGTATGGGATTAATATTTTTCCACCGGGCCAAATAGGAGGGGTTTTTTTGGGTGGGTGAGTGGCAATTTTCAACAAGACTGCAATGGAATGAAGGAAATTTAACTCCACTTTCCCTTGTACCACGGTTCTAATGCAGATCTCTTTCTCTCTCCCTCCCTCATACATATACACTCACATCATGGATGTGATTTAGACTTAAACTGACACAGACACATGTTATGTTATATGTGGCTGTCCCACATTATGTCCGACTGCCCTTGTACATAACCCAGACATTTCAGCTAGTTCAGCATGCTGCATCCAGATCATGTATCCAGACCAAAACTGTGCCGTTCAAAAATCACATTAACTACATCACAGGCTATGTCACAAGCTCAGGGACCACAACCAGTGGTGGCTTGTGGTGGTTAATGACACTACTAGTCCGTGGTGGCTAGTGACTCCTTGGTGAATTTAGGCTGCAGACTTTAAAGGTGCTAATCATGGTGCTAGCTCTAATCTGAGGCTAGTGATCAGCACCCTGGATAGCTCCTTTAAATCTCAGATAGATTTATTGCCCTGCTGGCATGGAACCTAAGAGCGACCACTGACTATAGCAAGTAGTTTAACCCAAAGCTACAATAAGTGCTTGAAAATTTCCCTGAAATTATACTTTGCTTTGATTGAATTATCCCTGTTTTAGGTCACAATCCCTATAAATATTGATAATGTCCTACCCCTGTATAATGGATGGAAGATGTCCCATCATTTGTAAGATAACCTTGTTCTAGCAGATGCTTGCAACCCCACACAGCCATAACTTCTTTTTCAAATCAAGAGAGATGTGTGCTTCAGTCCTGGGGTATATCAGCACTACTTAATGATAGCTCTTTGATATTGCTTTAATTACTATGGGTTTATCTTATTTGGAATCCTAGAGTTTTGAGTTTTATGAAGTACTTAGAATTATGTGCTGTAGTTTGGGTAAGGGCACAAGAGCTCTCTGGGAGAGAATTCTAAGTATCTCATCAATTTGTGACTCCCAGGATTCTCTAGGATGGAGCTAGGGTCATTAACTTGTATCAAGCTGATATAATTATGCAGTGTGAACACATTATGGAAGAAAAGGGTAGGAATGCACTGCCTTGGGAAAGTAAGTCAGCTTTTCACGGATTGCAACAAAACACAGTACCTCAGTGCTCAACCAGTAACTGGCATGGCAACACACTGTTGCCATTGTTTGAAATGTTGTGCCATTCTGTATAATTTATTTTCTTCCACTGTGCCATATCCCAATTAATAGACTACTTTCATCCCATGCTGAATTGTGACCTATATATGATAAAGGATCAGTCTTTTGACTGGAGCCTAATGAGAGCCACTACATGTTTGAGGTTGTGAATAAGAGGCATGTGAATAATTTGACATGGAAAGCACAAGGAGACAAGTTCTCCATGCTGGTGGAGTTTTGCACTGGGGTAGTGATGGGATGCGGGAGGGGAAAAAAAACCTAGTTGCTGATTAAGGAAAATAATCATCTGCTTGCAAAGCATTTGCCACCATGACTGCATTTTACACCTTTTAGGCAGCAGTTACTGTCAATTATATAAGACAGAGCATTCCACTGCTGAGTGTAAGAGATAAAACATGCTAGAGGCAGCCAGCAATTTCCCAGTGGATTTTAAGGACACCTTGGAGGTGGATGTTAGGCTGGTCAGCTAGAACATCTGTAGTCCATATTCAGCTCTTTACTGTGATTTTAAAAAGAGATCAGTTACTGTTTTAAATTAGTGACCGAAAGAGTTGTTGTGTATTATCTGTAATATACTGTAACATAACACATGACTATGTATTCTTAAACACAGAATCCCATTTTGAAATAGGTTTATGGTCAGCACATTTGTAAGTCAGAAAAGTAAGTACAGTATTTTCCATGATTTCATCTGTGGAGTGTTTTCTTCCCAAGCATGTAACAAACAATAACATATGGACATTTAATAGTAAAAATATTTATATATCTGTGTTTCACAATGGTGAATGTTGTTGAATAAACCCTGACAGAAATTATTAGTTTCTAAGGAGAATAGAAAGGGTTAAACAACAAGCTGAATTCTTTTATTTTTTAAAAATAGCTTTTGTTAAATGGGAAAGGAAGCTTAATGGAAATTAAATAATCTATTACTGCAGCAAGCTATTGATGACTATAAATTTCCCTGCGTTCTGCATAATAAACGAAGACAAATTATGTGCAGCAGTGTAGCAGCCTTGCCAACTTCTTGGAAAGAGTAAGGGGACTGAATTCTTTTCTTCTGACAGGCAGCTGTGAAGCTTGGATACCTCTGAAATAGGGAATATTTTCCACTTCCTGCAGAGCAAAGCTGGAAGTCCAAAATAATTCTGATGTATCTGACGTAGCTTTGAGAATCTCATTCGCATTATTCTTTTTGGCTTGTGTCCTAACGTGAATTCCAGAAGTGGAAAGTTGTTTATAGCCTTATCCACAAACCAGATAAGCCAGAGTACTTTTTCATTTAAGCCAGTTCATCCCTATAGGAATTAAACTGACTTCCCAATCACAGATGCAGGGGTTTCGGATGAATCCATGGCAGAATCATACAAGGTGTTTCCTAAAACTGTTAAGCAAACTAAATACTTTGGATTTGCTTTTTTTTTTTTAAGAGGGTTGGAGTCATTTGTAACTTGTTTGACTTTTTGTGCTTTTTAGTCATTCCATTGTTTTTGAGCAATACAGAAGTGTCCATTGCTTTTTAATTTACAACAGAAGAGCATTGGGTGGTTAAAAATACAAAGGAAATGTAAGCAGTTATAACAATGGAAAATGGCTTGCTTTAGGAACTGGGTCTAATACAGATGTTCAGACATTTACTCAAATATATGTTTACTCAAATGCTTCATGCTAGGCTACTTGCATCAGTGAGCAGCTTCAGGCAAAATCACTGCTACTATTTCAATCCAGGTTTTTGTGTGTGTGTGTGTCTACACACAGAGATTTGCACAGGCATAAGTAGGAAAGGCTTTTAAAATTTTGTGCATTATGTTTATTCATATTCTTTGGTATAGCCATAGGGTTTCATGACCGTAGGAGACCTTCATGACTCTGGAGACTGGTAGTGCATACAAATAAATTCCTGGGGCGGAAAGGGTAGAAATATGTGAGGCCGTGTTTCAAAACTGGCAACATTTGGGTAACATATGACATTCCTCAGTATTGCTAGGTGTATATATAACATTTGACATGGTCAGGGCTGCCTGAAATACTTTGTCACATGAGACAGGAAATCCCCAAAGCACCTTTCCTTATTTCTGCCCTTGAAGTTGTTGATTGTTATCACATCAAGTTTGACTTATGGCAACGCTATGAAGGAACAGAGCCATTGTAGTGCAGAGGTTTGAGTGTCTGACAAGGACTCTGAGAACCAAGGTTCAAATCCTTTCTCTGTCATGGAAACTCACTGGATGACCTTGGTCAAATTACACTCTCTCAGCCTCAGAGGAATGCCAAACTTCCTCTGAACAAATCTTGCCAAGAAAACCTCAGGAAAGCAGTTGCCATAAGTCAGAGTTGACAACCAGGACACTCTGTTCACAACCTTGCTAAGCTCTTGCAATCTCAGGGCTGTGGCAACCTTGATTTGAATGTATTCACCTGTAATACAGTCTTTGTCTTTTCCTATTGCCTTCCGCTTTACCATGCATCATCTTTTCTAATGAGTCATGTTGTTTCATGATATGTCTGAAGCAGAATAGTCTTAGGGCCTTTGCAGACTGCCAGAAACAGTGCAAATTGAGTCCA